TTCAGCAGAATTTGTAGTCTCGAAAAAGTTGTTCCGTGGATCCGTATAATTTTCAATAGCATTCATTCTTGAACCAAAAGACGTTAGCGTACCAAATTCCATCGAAATATGTCAAAAATTTGCGATCTGGAGATTGGACACAGAAAAACAAGACAGATTGGCAGATGGACAGACAAGCTTCAGAAATTGATTCACTACCCTCGTCGGTGCGGTGATCGAACATAGTCCTTATCCAAAGACGCAAACCATTGTGTTTTTGTCTTGATGAAACTGGACAAATTTACAAATTAATCGCCTTACAATTGTAATTAGCCGCATGCCTGGCAAACAATGCATTCATGAAGACATTGTTTAGAAAGTGTTGAATGAACATAGCATGAAAACTGATTTCAATAGACGTACGAATATATTCATATGTTTACGTTACGTTACATATCGTCTTACCATTATCTGAACATTTATTCAGCTGGATTAATGATTTTATGGCTCCACCCTTTACAACATAAGTTCTCGACTGATTGACTAATTAGCTGCAATATATACCCGCTCTCTTTCTAGCAACCCTAGTTTCCCTAGAAATCCATGAATTATTAAAAAAAAAAAGGAAAAAAGATTTGTGCTCTTCTTCATAAAGATGAAAACTCGGAATACTTCAAGAAAATTTCAACAGACATCGTGCACAGTTGTCTTTGCCCACCTGGGCATGTGTCTTCATGATATATTGCAAATCTCGGCCACACAGCAACGAAAACATCTTCAAACACGCTTGATATTAATACAACTGACATTAACGGACCTAGATCCCAGCTCAACATTGTAAAGCGTAATTTCGGTATTGGGATTGCAATCACTACGATGCGTCTGGTTCCCTTCGGCCAACCTCAACTACTCCAAACGGAGAAATCTATTATTTTGTTTTAATTTTTTTGTTAACGGCTTCTCCATACTTGGAAAGGTCCTCCAAACGGAAAGACGTAATTACTTCCCATAAAAATTGAATATTTTGCTTTAAAATATTTCACTTATCTGCCTGACGTGTTGTTGTTCAGTTAATAATATTATTTTATAACAATCATTTATATTTCAATTAAAGGTTACTATTACCCCTGTTATCATTTCCTATTCCATGAAAAGAGAACCAATAAGACCGTTATATTAAATCAACAAACTTGATTATATTAAATCAACAAACTACTTTTAAATAAATGATTATATTTATAAAAACTTATTGATATTCGAATCCATTGTTTTTATTTTTACTTTTATTCATTATTTTTTTATTTATTTTTTTTTTTTTTGGTATTTTTTATTTATATAAATCAATTATTTAATTTCATTAACTCGAAAAAAATCTAAAACAAAACGTGTAATATGTGTGTGTGCGGGTAATCCATTTTTTATTCAAATTATACGTGTATGTGTACCTGCACAATTTTTTATAATTAAATTACTCTTTATTTTTTATGCGGCATTTTATTAGGGGACAAACATAAAAATGTCATTTAGATGAAAATTTTATATTTTTTCTAAATAATAACAATAACAATAAAAAAATAAGAGAGAAATAATATTCGGTTTGAACCGAATATTTGTATACTTACCACTAGCTTTTCCTTATAAATAACGGAACCACATCTATCTATCATCTCTACTTGACAAGATCGTTTAATATACTATATAACATAAACGTATACGCGACATTTCACCTTAACACTTTAAGTAAAAATCGTGCTTACAGATTCCGTCTCGATTAGTTGACTCACGTCGTCACAAGGTAGCATTAGTTTAAAAATTGATATCAACTATTGACATCACAATCTTAAAGAGAAAAACTTATGCGTCGTTTTATAATTCCTTGAAGGATTATTTTCTTGTTTGCCGACCCCATAATGGCATCACTTGTTTTTCTAAACAGATTTTCGAAATGTAAAAGGCATTTTAATAGACGAACAAACAGACTTCTCTATATATCGTGGCCACTTTATGTTATCTCGGCAACATATCTTTGTGCATTCAAAACGTTTATCAAATCTAACAGACCTTGGAAAACTATGAAATAGTTTAGTTTCCTGAACCTTTAGGTGAACGATTAAAATAAATAAAATGATTGCATAAATTGGAAATAAAATCTTAGATTAAATAAAGTTTTCATATTATAGAAACAAAAAACGGTAATAAAAAATATTAAAAAAAAAAAAATTTATTAAAACATATATGAAGTCTTTCATATTTTGCCCTTTTTCGTCTCTCTTATTGAGACTTTTGCTTAGTCGCATGCGAATTTTAAAGCACATCTTAACATTTGCCAATGGCCGTTTCACGCTTAATTTGCAGTGACACTACACGGCACATAATACATCGGTCAATAATCCCTGAAAATGAGTAAAAACAGAATATTTTTTTTTTGGAAAATTCAAATTTATTGCAACAATTAATAATCGCTAGGGGTCAAATCTGAACACAGCCGGTGTTACATCAATTCTAACTTCAATTTATGCAATTTTTCCATCCAATTCCATTGCAAGCAAATGGGAATCCTCTTTTTAAGGACGGAGTTTTTATGCTTAAATTTTCATCCAAATGCTCGAAAAGGTATTTTCGAAGCATAAGACTTGCCATAACATATTTCAAGCAAATTCTGAGTTCTCAGAGTATTTTTTGCCATCAATCAAAGCTCTTTTTCACCTTTATTCATTGGATTTTTTTTGTTATATAAAAATCACTATAACACTGAAATTTTGACAAGCACTATGTGAAGGCCGCTGCTTTCTGAAAACGAGATCCATCTGACAATCCCGGAAATTGTTGATAGACGTGTTTTTTGTTTTATCTATTGGCCTAGCGCAAAAAAACTCTTGCTAGATGTCATACGCAATTAATTGCCAGCTTGCATTAAGTAAAATAAGTGGAAGCATAAATATACGAAATCTTTGACTTATACGCAAACTTTTCAAGCTTTTTTACTTTGAAAAACGGAAAACTTGCATGTGAAGTTTGCAGGATAGTAAAATCGGGCAAAGCAAAACATAAAGACTGAATGAATCGCATGCGACATTTCACAATATCCAAGATACTCCTCGCTTTAATCTACTCCGTCCTAATCTACTCCGTCAACGACCACAAAGATCAAACATAAGCACCGCATTGACTAATCAATTATTTTGAAATATTTCAAGGATTCGGAGACCTTTGCGTTTAGCATACGCACTTAAATGTGGAAAGGCCATGAAATTATTGAATACCATCTCAACGAAAAAGTTGATTTAGGGTAACTCGTTTATTTCATCCAAAATGCAACATGTCTTCTCATAAAGTTAGGCTATTAATGCTACAAACGCATATATCCAAATTTCCTGGGAATGACAACTAATCGAGCAAATCGAGAAGTCGATTAATCATAAGCGACTTCCCGTAGAGTCGCTCTCCGATATCCTATTGACACAAGGGCATTATAAACTGTATACATCGCCTTTTTAATTCTTCACAGCACGCGTAATCACGTTCGTCGTTTATCGCGACGATCACATCGCAACCATCGCTGAGTGATTTCGCTAAGTTGAGATAATCAAAACTCGAATAATTTTGTAAACTTTATTGAAAAATTTTCAGTTTCTAGTTTAAATTTTAAACATTAAACATCAAAAGAAAATAGAATAAATAACCTGACATAACTTTAAAGCAAAAAAAAAAAAAACAATATCCTCCCAATGAGAAAATCTTTTGTAGTTTGATATGCATTTAAAATAGAGCAAAGCTTATTATAAAGTTTTAGTTATTGGGTTATTTAGTCCGTACATTCTGAGTAATTGTTGTAAATGTGTGATACATATTCTAAATGGTGGTGGGTATGAAAACGATTCGTTTTAAGACCCGATTAACTTTTATAATGTTATGTAAATAGCACTAAAACATTTCGATATTACATTATTATTGTATTATATAAATGTATTTTTATGTGTGTGAGTGTTTGCATACATATATATATATATATATATATATATATATATATATATATATGTACATATACATACGTGTATATGCCTAGGTGTGTACGCATTTTTCCATCATTGTATGTATTTCCGTAGAGTGCGTGTAACTGTGTTTTAAACCGTATAAATGACAGCTAAAATAATAATTCAATCACCATATCATAATATATATATGCATATATATATATATATATATATATATACATGCATATATGTTTATAAAAAGATTGTATTTATACAATTGTATTTATGTATAAATGATTTAATTGTAGCATGTTGTAAAAAATGTTGAAAAAAAAATCAGTAATTTTCAGAATATTAATAATTGTAAGCATGTTATGTTTTCAGAAAACATTTTATTTAACTTTATTTAGCTTTTTGTTTTTTTTTTTATACATATATTTTAAATAAGGAAGATCTTTGATTTATTTTGGAAATATTTAAGTTTCGTTTAAATTTTTACCGTTTTCAAAGAGAATGAAAATTTCATACGTAAATCAGAACAGAACTCATTTTTTGATTTATTCATTCAATTATACAAAAAATTAGATCAGAATTCACTCATTTAAAACAGTTAGAATGTATTTACAGTCAGCCAATCAGTCAGTCAGTCAGTCAGTCAGTCAGTCAGTCAGTCGAGTCAGTCAATTAATCAATCAGCCTTTCAATGAATTAATCAATCAATCAGTCAGTCAGTCACTAATCAATCATTCGTTTTATTTTAATTTTTCCATCATTTCATATATACAAAAATTTGTTCTTGTTTTTTTCTTTCTTTTCATTGTATGCAAAATGTGTGTGTGTGTGTGTGTGTGTGGCCTATAAAGATTTTCTGATGTTCCCAGGATGTTCGATCTCGGGCCCCGAGGGCTGCAATTTGTTCATATATCACTTGCCCCAGGAATTTGGCGATGCTGAACTCATGCAAATGTTCCTGCCGTTCGGCAACGTTATCAGCTCGAAAGTGTTTATCGATCGAGCCACAAATCAAAGCAAATGTTTTGGTATGTTTTTCCCTCTTCCAGTTTCAATTCCTTTTAAAAAATCATTTCATTAAATTAAAAAGAAAAATAAAGCAAAAAAAAAACAACAAAAACTATATAATTTTATTTATTCATTTAGGTTTCGTTTCATTTGATAATCCTGCCAGCGCTCAGACCGCCATTCAAGCAATGAACGGTTTTCAGATTGGCATGAAAAGACTGAAGGTCCAATTGAAACGACCAAAAGATGCGAGCCGACCTTATTAACAATCAGAGTTCCTTCAAACGTTACAATATCTTCACAATTCCATGAACGTGCAAGTATTTAGCAAACTTTTAATGCAGTTTCATGTATTAAAGCATCCCGATAAACAATTAACAGCCCGCCATTATATGCAGAATCCTAACCTGCCTCGTTAAACAAAAAAAGCCATAAAAATAAAATAAAAAATAAAAAAACATAAAAAAAAAAATTAAAAAAAAAAAATAAAGTAAAAGCAAAAATAAAAATCAAGCAGTAAGAAAGCATTAGCAAGTGAGATATACAACAAGAAAATATGGTAAGCACATAAAATAAATGCAATAATAATAAAACATAAAAATTTAAGAAAGAAACACACATCAGTAATAAATTAGAACAATTGCGGCTCCATCGGCACCATTATTTTTCTACTCTGAATACATATACACATAATATAGGCAAAAAAAAAAAAAGATAACAGTTAGAAAAATAAGAAAGCACATAGGAGAAGGAAAAATATTCCATCACAAGAATGCCAAATAAGTTTGTCCTATATATAGGAAATGCTTAATTTCATCAGCTAATTAAAAAACATGCGATCGATACCTTATCCGACGCTGGATGATGGTTTATATGAAATGTTTAAGAATCGCTTTGGTCTATTTGAACGGGATTATTGTACAGACGTTATCCATGACGAAATCTAATATGTAGCATATAAGAGGATTAACAGGAATTCATTGAAAAGGGACACTAAATGTGATATTCCTTAACGAAAGTAAGGGTTTAGTGTTTTAGATTCTGTGCATCTGTAAATAATCTCCTGTAAATAAATTTTCAATTTCAATAAAATCCACGCTGTTGTAAAGTCACGCAATCTATTGGTGCAAGCCCATCTTATGGACCAGTGGGTAATTAATAAACTATTCTACTATTGTATACGCAAATATACGTTCCTGAGAAATGATACTATTGACTACTCGGTATAATTACTGCCTAGCTTTCAAGGAACTTTGTTTTTAGCCAACGTAAATACAATAAAATGACTTTTACAAGCTCGCCTCCTCCCGCGTTAAGCCTTGTCGTACCAAGACTAAAAAGTTTAATCGTTAACGGTCTGTTGCCAACCGTCAACACGCTAATGATACAGGAAATGGTGTCACTATGATCAGCTATATTACTATATTAAAGTCGCTTTGCTCAGCTGAATTCTTATTGGAATTGATATATGAACACATCAATAATTCCCAGGACTGACATAGAAGCCATCTATGAAAATCGCAAAATTTGTGTTATTTTTAGAAACTTCAAATCATCAAACGATATCTATCAGAGTTTCATATTACCTCATTAAAAACATTTTAGAGCTTACATGATTACAGTGGCTTTAGCAAGGCTATTTTTGACAACTTGTTCGAAACAATGCACAAGAAAACTTTTTCCATTCAAGGGACAGGGCGGATATCATACGAAATTTCGCATGAAAATTTTGATAGGAGAAAGCTGTTTTCCATATGGATACCACGTTCACTTACAGTGAAACAAAAAAAAAAGAAAACCCGCGACACAAATGAATGGGAAATTGAATAAATTGAAAATCGGATTGCAACTCCAAGAATATGTCGTTTAGCAACTAATATATGTTTGCTTATCTGATAAGGATGCTACAAGGCAAAATTTTCGCATCAGATGATAAAGTCATTATGAGCTCTGAAGCGCGTTTTTGTTTTTCCTTCCTTCCAAAAAACCATCAAAATGACGAAAAATGATTGCATTGAAGGACGCGGTGTTAATGAATAATGAAAAATTTTGCAAGGAAAAATTATTAACCGACTTATTATATAAACATGAATAAATAAATTAATTAACTACTGTTGATTTGGCTAATGCCAAGAAAAGTATTCCAATTGGATGAGTATATTAGACCTATAGGACAAAGAGTTGGGCGCCTTAGTCATTAATTGGGGACCAAACAAACAATTTAAGGACATTCGAATGATTCTGGATTAGAGGTGCCATTATGATACTGGATTGTGAAAAATTGCTTCAATTTTTCTATTCGATGTGAAACCAGCCAAAGTGATTCCCTTTGTAATTCCGACAAATGTAAAGCCGATTTAAATATATACCTCCAAACGTCAATCCCTCTCTTCTTGGCATTCTGACGGCGGCAAAAATTAACAAACAGAACTTTGGTACATAGATCCTTAATTCACACGTTCAAAGACCAAAATTCAAGTTTTACGCATAATTATGAAACGAAAATGTATATTTTTCACTCTCTATCTCTCTCTCTCTCTCTCTCTCTCTCTCTCTCTCTATCTATCTATCTATCTATCTATCTATCTATCTATCTCTCTATCTCTCTCTCTCTATCTATCTATCTATCTATATATCTACATATCTATCTATCTATTTATCTATCTATCTATCTATCCACCTACCTATCTATCTATCTTTCTGCCCACTGAATAATTTTGTTTTTATATATATCTTCACAGATGAGACTTGAAATTACATTCACACCGAAAAAAATTTCTTTCTTCTTCTCCCGCAACTCGCCATCGTACAGTCTCCTCCATAAGGCAATTATAGTTTAACTCACTTTTTTTTAGAGATAACATTATTATGAATTAAAAAAAAATTTATAAAGAAAAAAAAAACAGTCTTAAAAAAACCCAAAAATTTATTATAGAATCCTTATATTCAAGATGTTTATACTACACATGATAAATACAACAACAAAAACAAAAGATACAACTAAAAAAAAAAAATCACAAAACAGTATATTAAAAAAAAATTTTTGCCAAAATATCGTATTATGAAAAACAAAAAAAACCAAAAAAAAATACCTAATTATTAGAATTATTAAAAACAAAAAAAAAAAATAGTTTTGTTAGACAACACAGTATGATAAATAAATAATTTCCTTAATAAACACAAACAGACACATACACATATACACGCCCGATCATACATTAAAAATTATCATGAAAAAAAAAAAATAATAATATTTATTCAGAATAAAAAAAAAAAAAAATTAATAAAAAATAACTGACTGGCATGAGACCAAAACCATATGGGTTTTCATAATATTTAAAATTAAAATTTAAAAACAAAGTTTTAAAATTTATTAATTTTTATACCAAAAACCAGAAAACAAAACAAACTGTAATGGGAATTTATAAAACAACAAAAACAAAGAACTATAAAAGTAGTAAAATTAAAAGTTTTATGCAAGAAAAAAAAAAGAGGAAAACAAAAACAAACAAACAAAACAGAAAAGGAAAGAAGCAAATCTTATCAAAAATCTTCAATTTGAAAAAAAAAAA